CAAGTTGGGAAAAGAATTGTCATTGGGGCGCATGGCAGGGCCGTTTTCTTACCCCCCATTTCCCAACTTGCGGGTATCGCCCTTGGGGCTGGTACCTAAAAATAAGCCTGGCTCCTTTCGGTTGATTCATCACCTGTCCTACCCGACTGGGAGGTCGGTGAACGATGATATCGATAAGGAATTCAGCAGGGTGCGTTATGCTTCGTTTGACAGGGCCCTGTCATTGGTTAGGGAAGCGGGGTTGGGGGCACTCCTGGCTAAATCAGACATCGAATCGGCCTTTCGGTTATTGCCGGTTCACCCAGAATGTTATCACCTGCTGGGTTGTCAATTCCAGGGGTCGTTTTTCTATGACATGTGCCTTCCCATGGGTTGTTCGATATCGTGTTCTTATTTTGAAATGTTTTCCTCGTTTTTGGAATGGTCTGTGGTTCAGTATTCGGGTTTGGATCCGGTGACGCAATCTCGACGACTTCTTGTTTGTGAGTCCTCGGGAGGGTGCCGGATGTTCTCGGTTGTTGTCGGCCTTCCGCGCAGTGTCCGCGTGGTTTGGCGTACCAGTGGCGGAGCAGAAGACGGAGGGGCCAGCCACTAGGCTGTCGTTTTTGGGCATCGAGATTGACACCGTGGACATGGTTTTTCGCTTACCGGACGAAAAGCTAATGGTCCTGCTCAAGCAGATTGACTTGGTAAAATCGTCTCGGAAGGTACAGTTGCGCACGATGCAAGTACTGCTGGGTCACCTAGCCTTTGCTTGCAGAGTCTTGCCCATGGGTCGGGCCTTTTGCCGGCGCTTGTCATTGGCGACGGTTGGTATCAGGGAGGCTCACCATTTTATTCGGGTGTCGACCAAACTTAGGGCTGACTTGCAGGTATGGAGCGTCTTCCTGGGTAGGTATAACGGCCGATCATGCTGGTTGCGGAAAGCGGTTCCCAATGCCGAACTCGAACTGTATACGGATGCATCGGGATCCGTAGGGTTTGGGGCTTATTTTCAGGGCAAGTGGTGTGCTGCTGCTTGGCCGGCGGCATGGCGTGAGCTGGAGTTGATGCAGAACCTTACGTTCTTGGAGCTGTTCCCCATAGTGGTGGAGCTAGCACTGTGGGGGGACGAATTGCGGAACCAGGTGGTGGTTTTTCACACGGATAACATGAGTGTGGTCCATGTGATTAACCGATCATCGTCTGCATCCCCTCCAGTGCTGGCTCTCTTGAGTCACCTAGTGCTGCTGAGCTTACAGTTTAATGTGTGGTTGCAGGCTCGGCATGTTCCAGGGGTTTTGAATGTGGTGGCTGACTCTCTTTCTCGGTTTCAGTGGGACCGTTTTCGTGAGTCGGCCCCGGAAGCAGATCAGGAGGGTCTTCGCTGCCCGGCATACTTATGGGACCTGGTTTCGGAGGGCTGATGTCCTTGGTGTCGGAATCGTTGTCGGCGGCTACGTGGAAGGTGTACAGGTCGGTATAGGTAGGTTGGCTGTCGTGTGTGGAGGGGTCTGATCGTATGTCATCGGAGTCTGCCCGGTTCACAGTGACGTTACGCTATATGAGTAGGCTCCTGGAGCAAGGTCAATCATGCGCATCGTCGGAGAGAGCGCTGTCGGCTCTGTCATTTTTGTTTCGGTTTCTAGGCTGGCGGGACATAACGAAGGAGTTTTGCCTGCAGCGGGTTCTGCGCGGTTGGAGGACCCGGAGGAGTCCGGACCGGCGGCGTCCGATTTCAGTGGAGCTGTTGTGGCAGTTGATGGGGGCGTTGCCGGGGGTCTGTGTCTCGGTATCAGAGAGTCGGTTGTTTCAGGTTAGTTTTGCGCTGTGTTTCTTCGGGGCATTGCGGGTGGGGGAGCTTGTCGCCCCCAATCGCCGTTCGGTTTCTCCACTCCTGCTGTCAGATGTGCGTTGGGCGGATGGGTTTGTGGACCTGCATATCCGCAGATCAAGCTGGTGCTGGTGTGTGGCTCAGGGTGGGGAGCTATGGTGGTGAGTATTGTCCGGTCCGGCTCTTCCAACAGTATATGGCGAGTCGGCCGGCGGCGGCCTCGTTGTTGGTGCATGTGGATGGGTCCCCGCTTACGCGTTTTCAGTTTGCGTCAGTGTTGGGTAGAGCTCTGGTGGACTGCGGTCAAGATCCATCCGGGATCTCGCCTCATTCCTTCAGGATCGGGGCCGCTACTCAGGCTAGCGGTATGGGTTTGGCAGGTTCGGTGGTGCAGCGATTAGGCAGATGGTCTTCTAGGCGGTTTCAGCTGTATGTTCGACCACATTTGTTATAATTTGTTTCAGGTTGCGTCCCCCGTTACGTATGGATCTTGGGGCATTCGTTTATATATTGGGCAGCTCGACGGGCTCAGTCTCGCTCCTATGGACGGAACCTAGGGATCTCCATGGACATAGCAAGGGTACGCTGGAGGGGTGTTCGGGGTCTGTCCTGGAGGCAAGTCTATCCGGAGTGCGTGGCCCTGAGCAGGTTCGTGTCGGGGGCTGTTACAATTGTGATCCATGCGGGAGGTAATGATTTAGGGAGGGTTAGATCGGTGGATCTGATGCACTCTGTCAAGCACGACTTGGCCCGGTGTTTGGCACTATTCTCAGACGGCATCGCGGTGGCGGAGTTCCTGGCCAGCGCACGTAATGCACGGAAAGGATTTGGGGAGTCGCAGCCTGCTAGGGCTGATGGCTGAAGGCAGGCTGTACGAACTCTGGATAAAGACTTGGAGTATCTGTCTGTTAGGTGACAGGTGGAAATGCTGGCTGTGTAAAAGTTTAATAAAGCTGTGGCCGTTGCCCTTACCCAACAATCAGGTGTCATGTTGTTATTGGGGGTAACGGTTTTGGTATTTGTGGTCAGCAGTCAAGATATCCCCTGGACTGCAAGGAAGGGGAGGCATGACTGCTGCCCTGCAGTAAGGGGTGGGAATATAAAAGATACAATGTTGCCTATATAGTGGGATATAAGAGGGAGAGCAGGGGGGTGGGACTCACCAGTGCAGAAGGAGCAGTCTGGAACAGTTTCTCGCCCGCCCTCCCCAAAAAATTTCCCATGCTCTGTGATGGTTTGGCTTGTGGTGTTGTTTGTTTCTGTTCTTGTTTTGTCACAGCTATGGCGGAGTTCCTGGCCAGCGCACGTAATGCACGGAAAGGATTTGGGGAGTCGCAGCCTGCTAGGGCTGATGGCCGAAAGCAGGCTGTACGAACTCTGGATAAAGACTTGGAGTATCTGTCTGTTGGGTAGTCACCCCAACAGCTGACAGGTGGAAATGCTGGCTGTGTAAAAGTTTAATAAAGCTGTGGTCGTTGCCCTTACCCAACAATCAGGTGTCATGTCGTTATTGGGGGTAACGGTTTTGGTATTTGTGGTCAGCAGTCATGGTCTGGGGGAATGCCTGACAACCCTCTGCAGCAGCTCTGCCACTCCAGCTCACCAGGGCCATGTACAGGGCCAGTCCTAGGGTCACAGACGCCTGGATGTAGAATTTTTTTGGGCATCCCCAGGTGAGTGTGGTCATCTTACTAACTCCTCCCCTTTGCAATGACTCCACCTCTCCATCTAGACACACACTCACTGATAGAGACACACACTCACTGATTTGACACACACTGACAGAATGATAGTCAGACACATTGACACACACTCTCTATGACAGATACACCATCTCAATGATATGAAACACTCACTGACAGACACAAATGCTGACAGACAGACACATACACACTTACTGACAAACACACACTCACAGACACTCACAATTATAAACACACACTCTCACTGATTTAAAAACACTCACAGGCAGACACACACACTGACAGACAGGGGTGGCCATTAGTCACCCTGCAAGAAAAATCCTCACAACATCGATCCCTGGCCCATTCCTTTGCCCTACCTAAAGGTATTTTAATATCTAAGCCAAAACAATATATCTTGGACAATATAACTGATCTGAAAAGTAATGAATTGGATAGTTTTTCCATTTTAGCAGTTTTGGAATAGGTTAGTCCTTACCATACCAATAGATTAGAATATTAAAATAAACATCTGTGTGTTACTTCACTCCTCCTCAACCCTGTGTATGTTTATCCTGCTGCTTCATTAATGTTTCTCCTAATCCCCTTCTCTCACCTTGTATGTGTCGAATTTCCTTTTACAGTCTTGTCTCTTAACCCACTGTTGCTTTTTGTGTGTTCTTAACCCCTTTTAAACCCTTTAGACCATAGTCATGCAATCACATGTACATATGGGCATAACCATAATCCCAAACTGAACACATCAATATCAAATAAAAGGGACTGGACGCCAATCACAGAATTCCATTTTATTAAAATGATATAAAAGGCAAAACAAAACAAAAAAAATCATGAAAATCCAAACTAAGGAGGTGATCACATCTCTAGACATACGTTTTTACACAAAACAAGGAAGTCCGGCATTCAGCGTTCTAAATCACAACATACATAATCACAATTACACACACAGCCCCATGCATACCTAGACAGCCACAAACAATAAAACACACACACATTCACACATCCATAAGGACACTGAATTGATCACATGCTTACACAATATAAGTAACAACAGTCACTCATAGTCACATACACACAGTCCTTGACTGTAAATTATAAATTCTACATATATATTTATCTATTACTTTTACATAATTCACTGATTTTATTAATTGTAATTTGAGGGACCTGCCTGACAACCCAGGCAAAATGTCCAGAGAATTTAAATTGCAAGCCCTATATTTGACCCTGTAACTTTCAAAAACACATAATACCTGTACACGAGGGGTACTGTTGTACCCAGGAGACTTCTCTGAACACAAATAAAGGTGTTTTAAAACAGTAAATGTATCATGATGATATCGTGAAAGTGCAGTTTTTGTGTGAAAAATGCAAGTAACAAATATGAAATCTATGGCCAGAAATATGGAAATATAGAGTTTGTGTCTTAGTGGCTACTAAAAAAGACTGTTTTTTTTTATGCGCGACAGTTTGCCGTTATGCGCATGCGCGAGCGGGATGTTACTACGCGCACGCGCACGCGCGGCACTCATTATAGTATGACTGCGCATATGGGATGTTGCTATGCGCATGCGCGGCAGTTTGCCGTTATGCGCTTGCGCGAGCGGGATGTTACTACGCGCATGCACGGCACACATAGTATGCCTGCGCAAATAGGATGTTGCTATGCGCATGCGCGGCAGTTTGCCGTTATGCGCATGCGCGAGCAGGATGTTACTATGCGCTGCACTCATTACAGAACGCATGCACGGACTATCGTTGCGCGCAGCAGTGGCTGTGATGCCTGTGGAGCATATTTATACAGCTGTTTGTGTGTGTTCTGCCAATAGGTAAGATGGCGGTTATGGACACCGGATAAAGTGGGAGTACACTTATTGTCTATAGAGGTTGGTTATTAGAATATTAACATCTGTTATTATTATTTTAGGTCCTATGACTCTTTTTACTCCATATATGTTTTCAGTGCACCCAATCAGTTTTGATTTGATATTAAAATGTTACTATTAAAATATTGTGCCAGGACTTGAGGTGATGATGTCACTTCCTGAGCTGGTAACAATTTTGTGCTGATGGCCATCAGCTGTAAGAGGGCTTTATAAGCAGACACATGTGAACATGGATACAGGTACCCTTGATAAAGGCAGCCAGTTGGTGCCGAAACGTGGGGGGGGTTTGGTGACTCGTGTTTCTGTCTGGAGGCTTGTAAGAATTTTTGTGGTAATTTACTATTGTTTTATTGTGTTTGCCTTTGCTTCTGTCACTTTGTTTATCTTTTTTTATATGTTTTCACTCTGGTACTTTTTTGTACATAATAAAGCAAAGTTTTTTTTGAGATTGTTATAGTGTGCATTCTATATTCTATATACATTTGAATATTTAAAGCACTTGAGGGAGTGTTTATATGGTTTGCACCTGGCTGTTCTTATACTATTTTGTCTCTCCATGTGCTGTTGTTTTACTAAAAAAGACTGGACATACCTCATTTTGAATAGCTTGGGTTGTCTATGTTTGCAAATGGTATGCTATGATGGGGGTAATTCTCATTCCTGGGCTGCCACATGGTCTCAAAGGCAACATAACCAATCTGGCAAATTTCAATATGTAAAAACTGATATGGGCAAGCCTTATATTTGACACTGTAACTTTGCAAAACACCACACATCCTGGACATGGGGGTTACTCTTGTACTCGTAACACATTGCTGAACACAAATATGTGTTTTAGAGCAGTAAAATGTATAATGCTGATGATATAATTGGTGAAAAGGCAGTTTTTTTTGTGAAAAATGCAAAAAACAAACTTGAATGCTAACTTTGGCCAGGGCTTGTGACTAAGTTGCTACTAAAAAAGACTGGACATTTTGAATATCCTGGCTGTCCACTTTTACAAATGATATTTCATGATGCGGTTACTTTTCATTCCTGGGCTGCCATCCGGTCTCAAAAGCAACACAGACCAAACAAACCAATCTGGCATATTTCAATGTGCAAAAATGGCCCTGTATTTGACACTGTAAGCTTCCAAAAGCCCATAAAACCTATACATAGGGGGGAGGTAATGTTGTACTTCTAAGACATTGCCTAATACAAATATATGTGTATTTTATTGCAGTAAATGCTAACAGTATTATGAAATTCACAGTTACAATATCCTGAAAAAAACATCCCTCGACCCATCCACCCCTCTAACTATCGTGAATGTCATAATACTTGTAACGGATCGCCTGGCACCCCGACTGGGTACCTCCGTTAAAGGATGCTCCTAGCGCTTCCTGAGGACTCCAAGCACTGCAGCAGACACCAAAACCACCGAACCGTAGGAGCATATGAATGCTCGCAAGCATATGAATGCTGTAGACAGTTGAATAGGAACCATATGAATAGGTTTACTCTCCTAGCAGTCAAACTGGAACAGCATACAATAAATCCTTCCCCCAATAATGAGGCGACACTTCACTTTGAGGGTTAAGCAGGAACTCCCTGTACTGTCACATACAGTCTCTTTTATTCCCAATCCACAAACATAGTACAGCCCACAGGGCGTTACAAAACAACCAATCACATCACAGTTACATCCCACATATTCCCTCCCCTTATCCTGAGAGGAAACTCAATTATACATACAGTTAAAACATACTTTCTACCCAACTTTCATAACTCCAAAACCATACATCACATTCGCATAAAATTACATATTCACAATCAATCCATTCAGGGGAACAACATATTCAAAAATGGCACAAATCAGACAAGGGGTTCAAAAGTTAGTAAAAAGTCCTTTGTGACTAAATGAAGCATGGCTTTCTGGCCCAAACCAGTTCCAGAGTCTTCTATCCTGGAGATAAGTAATTCAATTATCTCCCAGGATAGACACAAGACTCCATTAAGCACATGGTTGCAAAAAGACACAAAACACTTTAGAATACATAAAGTCACATTTACACATAACACACAGACATTTCACATATCCCCAGATAGCTGGGATCTGAGTGCACATTATTAGATGAATGGCACCCAGATCACACAAATAAGCCTTTCTGCAGGGGAAATAAACGGTTTAACCTGCAGGGCCATAGTCCAAAGGGAGCAGGCGAGCAACCAGGCTTCTCCAGTTCACAGTGGCGAGGTTGGTTTCGCCACAATACTGTTAGCATTTACTGCTCCCTTTTTCCTCAAAGTTTCTGGAAAGACGTGTCTTTACCCTTATATCTCACTTCATCAATTCCAGCTCTCTCCTTGACCCTCTTCAATCTGGCTTCTGCCCCTCCACTCTACTGAGACTCCTCTTATCAAAGTTATTAATGACCTAATCGCAGCTTAATTCAAAGGCCACTACTGCATACTAATACTTCTTGACCTCTCTGCTGCCTTTGACACCGTTGATCATGCTCTCCTTATATGTTTAAGTGACAAAGAAGAACTATAATATGCATGATACAAGGTGAGCCACCCAACAATAAGAAAGAAGAATTTACATACATATATATGAATAAGTATCAAGCAGAATAATTTTTTTAAGAGTCCACCTTTTATTACACTGTGACACTGTCCTCTTTTGGTTTTCATCCTATCTCTCCCAACGCTCATTCAGTGTCTCCTTTTCTAATGATACCTCCTCCATTCATCCTGTCTCTGTTGGAGTCCCCCAAGGCTCTGTCCTTGGTCCCCTAGTTTCTCTTTATACTGCCTCTCTTGGCAAACTTATTGACTCATTTGGATTCCACTACCACCTGTACGCTAATATCTCCGCTATATACCCAGCTATATCTCTCCTCCCCCGACCTCTCCCCTGACGTCCTGCAGCATGTCACTGCTTGCCTTTCCTCCATCTCCGACTGGATATCCTCCAACTTTCTAAAACTAAATCGCTCTAAAACTGACTCCTTATCTTTCCTCTTCCTAATACTGATCCTCTTCTTTCGCTCTCCCTTCAAGTTAGTGGTATCCACATCAGTCCATCCTTGCAAGCACACTGTCTTGGTGTCATATTTGATTCAAGTTTCACCTTTGAGCCTCACATCCAGCATGTTACCAAATCCTGTAGATTTCATCTTAAAAACATAGCCCGCATCTGACCATTTCTTACGCAAGATGCTACCAAAGATCGTGTCCATGCTCTAGTAATTTACCACGTGGATTATTGTAACCCTCTCCTAATTGGTCTTCCCAAAAAACATATTGCCCCACTACAGTCTGTAATGAATGCCGCCAGACTGATTTTCCTCTCTAGTCGGTCTTCTCACACCTCACCCCTTTGTCAGTCCTTACATGGGCTTCCTGTATCCTATAGGAGTCAATTCAAAATGCTAACCCATACCTATAAAGCATTGACCACTTCTAGCCCCTCTTATATCTCTTCACAGATCCATAGGTATGCCCCTTCTCGATCTCCCTGCTCTGCCCATGATCTTCTCCTGTCCGCTACTCGCACCCGTACAGCCAACTCATGCTTGCAGGACTTCTTGTGGGCGGCTCACTTCCTATGGAACAGCCTGCCTACCACCATCAGATTCTCCCCTAGTCTTCAATCGATTAAGAAGTGCCTTAAAACCCATCTTTGTAGGAAAGTGTATGGCCTACCAGAGTAACCTCTACATCACATACCTGTCTCTACTCTCTCCTCCAGATCTGCCTCACTCCCACCTATTTTGATTGCTATTCCCTGTCCTATTGTGTTTTACACCCCACCTCCTATAGACTGTAAGCTCATTTGAGAAGGGTCCTCTTCAACCTATTCCTATAAGTTTTCTTGTAATTGTCCTATTTATAGCTAAATCCCCTCTCTTATAATATTGTAAAGCGCTACGGAATCTGTTGGCGCTATATAAATTGCAATAATAATGCAGAACTTGAGCAATAACATTTCTTTTTATGTTTTATTTTATTTTTAGATTTTATTCAAATTAAATTATGTTTCATATATAAATATATGAGGTGAAATGAAAGCCTTGTTTCTCCTGAACAAAATTATATATATATATTAACCCCTTAAGGACGGAGCCAAATGTACACATTGTGAACGAAACAAAATGTAAACAAAACCTGGCATTTGCGCTACATGTCTGTCCAACCGTAATTCACCTCTTTCATATTAGATGCACCCACCCTTATTATATATCATTTTATTCAGGGGAAACAGGACTTTCATTTAATATCAGAAAATAAGATTTTATTTTTTTTAGTTCTACATGATATTTTAACTGTCAATGTCATAATACTGTTTGCTTTTACTGCAATAAAATACACATATTTGTGTTCAGCAAAGTCTCACTTGTAAAACAGTACCCCCTATGTACAGGTTTTATGGCGTTTTGGGAAGTTACAGGGTCAAATATAGCACGTTACATTTGAAATTGAAATTCACCAGATTGGTTACGTTGCCTTTGGGACTTTATAGTAGCCCAGGAATTAAATTTACACCCATAATGGCATACCATTTGCAATAGTAGACAACCCAAGGTATTGCAAATGGGGTATGTCCTGTCTTTTTTAGTAGCCATTTGGTCACAAACACTGGCCAAAGTTAGTGTTAGTATTTGTTTGTGTGAAAAATGCAAAAAAAGCCAATTTTGGCCAGTGTTTGTGGCTACTAAAAAAGACTGGACATACCCCATTTGCAATACCTTGGGTTGTCTACTATTGCAAATGGTATGCCATCATAGGGGTAATTTTCATTCTTGGGCTACCGTAGGGTCTCAAAGGCACGTAACCAAAATGGCGAATTTTAATGTGAAAAAAATGAAACGCAAGCCTTATATTTGACGCTGTAACTTTTGAAAACACCATAAAACCTGTACATGAGGGGTACTGTTGTACTCGGGAGACTTCGC